CTGAGCCGGAACGTCTCCGGGCCGGGGAACAGGTGCATGCCCTCGTCCTCCACGGTGCCCCTGCGCGCAAGCCTCGGCATTGACACCAGGCCTAGTGTAGAGGCATCCGAGATGGGACCGTAGCAGACGGGGTCGGAAAAACACGCCGCCTCGCCGATGCATCGGCGATGCAGCGGCGATACATCGGCGACGTCGGCGATGCGTCGGCGACGTCGGCGTGCAGAACAGCGGGCTCAACATCGAGACTCATCGCCGATGCATCGGCGAGGCGGCGCGATCCTCCGACCCCATCTGGGAGACCTAGACAGTGGTCGTGGAACAGGTGCCTGCCCTGGACCTCCACGGTGCCTCTGGGGAGACAAGGAGGCACCGATACTGCTGCTCCCCGGATCCCTCCTGGGAAGCGTCCTGACCGGGCTTTCGGGCCGAACCTGGCCGTGGCGACGAGGGCCGCCCAGGAGGTCCGAGAAAGGGGAAACCGAGGGAAGGGTAGCGGGTAGCAGAATGGGTACATCTTCTGATAAATCGCTGATCGGCGAGGGTAAGTAGGGCCAAAATCTCGCCGCCGAACTTTGGAGGCCCAAAGCCTTCCGCGAGGAGGAGGAGGAGGAGGAGGAAGAGGAGGAGGGGGAGGAGGCGGAGGCGGAGGCGGAGGAGGAGGCGGAGGAGCGGGATCGCTGCCCTTCCCTCCTCTGGCGCCTGCCCCGGACCTCCACGGTGCCCGTGCCTGCGAGCGAGCCTCGGCGAAGGCACCGCGCGCAGTGGTCGGAGCCACGCGCCGCGCTGCCACCGGGAGCGCCGAGCAGGGAGCAAGACAAAACAACAACAAAAAACACACAAAAAGCACACAACAAACACACACACAGATCGATGTGTTCCTGTGGTCCTTTTTTTCTCTCTCAATTTCTTGTTTTTTCCCACGAGGCTTCTGCTTTGGCGGGCGGTGCGCCTCTCGGCCGCCCCAGCTTGCCGGGGCGCAGCCCGGGAGCCAAAGCTCCTCGTGAGCTGCAGCGGGCCCCGGCGTCGCTCTCTCGAGCAGGCGATCGGCAGCAGAGTCGATCTACCCCAGAATCTGACTTCTTGCTCGTCGATATCCACGGGACGTGCGTAGAACGCTCGTCGATCTCCGAACAGCCTACGTCGGGTAGTGGAAGACTCGACGCAGGAATCAAGTTCTGGGTGCATCAAGTTTGTAGTCGATCCCCTACTCGAATCTTGCCTGTAGGGACAAGAGGGCGGCGGGCAGGAGGGGGAGGAGGCCGGCGTGGTAGGGGCGGGTTTTTGCCCTCAGGCAGAGGCTCGTATGTATGTATGTATGTATGTATGTATGTATGCATGTATATATAATGTACATGTATATCTACACACATGTATACATACATACATACATATTTATATATGTACGTGTAACTGTATATTCATATTTAGGTGTATATGAATTTACATTTGTATACACACATATGAATACCACATGAAAATGCGCAATATGTGTATAGCTGCACATATACATAGGTCTGTAGACACACACACATACACATATGTATACATACATATACACATATATGAGGAGCGCGCGAAAGAGAGAGAGAGAGAGAGATAGAGACACACACACGCATATACATATATTTATTTATATATATATATATATATAGAGAGAGAGAGAGAGAGAGAGAGAGAGAGAGAGAGAGAGCGGGGCGTCCAAGAGGGGGGTTCGCAAATCATGGCCCGAGGCACGCGCGCCGTCCAGAGGGGGCCAAGGGGTCGTTCTGGAGGAAGGACACATCACATCCGCGCCCCCTAATCAGTCATAGCACACCCCCCTCTCTCACCATCGCTCGGACGTCCGTTTCCCGTGCATTTTTCGGGTTCGTGCGTGTTTTTTGTTGCTCGATGGTCCAGGGTGGTCCTCGATGGCTCTCGCCGAGGAAAAAATACACGCGTCCGAGCGATGCCCGGCTCTTGGTCGCCACCGAAGCCGCCACGCCCCGAGGGGCCTCTGGCGCTTCCTGGCGATGCTGCCTCGCGCTTCCTCGCGATGCCTGCCGTCTTACCCTCCTCCTCCTCCTCCTCCTCCTCCTCCTCCTCCAACGCCTCCTCCTCCCTCCTCCTCCTCCTCCTCCTCCTCCTCCTCCTCCTCCAACGCCTCCTCCTCCTTCTCCTCCTCCTCCTCCAACGCCTCCTTCTCCTCCTCCTCCTCCTCCTCCTCCTCCTCCTCCTCATCCTCTTCCTTCTCCTCCTCCTCCTCCTCCACCTCCTCCTCGTCGTCCTCCTCCTCCTCCTCCTTTGAAGGCGTCCCGTGCGCGCGACGGCCTCCAAGAAGCAGCCAGCAAGCGCCCGAGAATCTCCGACGCGGCCTCAAGACGCACGCCGCGACGCCCTCTCGAGGCCTCGCTTCGTCCCGGGGTCGGCGGAATGGCGCAGGCCTCTTGGAGAAAAGAGATGGCGTCCACATTCCACATTCCACGTCCAGGAGGAGGAGGAGGAGGAGGAGGAGGAGGAGGAGGAGGAGGAGGAGGAGGAGGAGGAGGAGGAGGAGGGGGAGGAGGGCAAGCTAGGTGCGCTCGCGTCATATCTGACGTCCTACCCCTCCCTCCCATCCCTTACCATGGCGCTGATTTTCTCTATCCGCGGACGCGTGTCGTAGCGGACCTGTGGCTCCGCGCGCGCGTGCGTAGTGGGTGGTGGTGCGCGTGCGTGCGTGCGTGCGTGTGTGCGTGGTTGTGTGGTGGTGGTGGTGGTGGTGGGTGGGTGGTGGTGGTGGTGGTGGTGGTGGTGGTGGTGGTGGTGGTGGTGGTGGGTGGTGGTGGTGGTGGTGGTGGTGGTGGTGGTGGTGGTGGTGGTGGTGGTGGCGGTGCGGCGCGGTGGTGGCGGGCGGATGGGCGCGCGAGAAAGAGGCCCGCGCTGGGGCGAGAACGCCATCCTGAACGACGGAGGCCAAACACCGATCCGAAAATGAGGCCCACGCTGCAGCGGGAGCACGATTCGGAACGATTCGGGAGCAGAAATGAGGCCGGCGCCTCAGCGAGAGCAGCATTTTTGAAAAAAACACAAGCGAAAACCCAACTCCGGGGAATCCTGTGTGTAAAAAACAATACGCGGGGGGGTGCCGAATATCTTCCGGACGCCATCAGGGGAAGTGGGAGAGTATTTTCATATTGTGTAATTGTGGAGGAGGAGGAGGAGGAGGAGGAGGAGGAGGAGGGGGAGGAGGAGGAGGGTGGAAGAGGAACAAATCCTACTCACCCACCTTGACGCCCACTTTCCGCGTCCCAGTGGTCATCGCACCCCTCCCGGCCGCCCCCGAAGCCGCCGGGCCCCGAAGGGGGCCTGGCGCTCCCAGGGGGATCCCGCCTCGCGCTCTCTCGGGCGGGGGTCGCTCGAAGCGGCGTTTTTTTTTTTTTTTTTTTTTTTTTTTTTTTTTTTTTTTTTTTTTTTTTTTTTTTTTTTTTTTTTTTTTTTTTTTTTTTTTTTTTTTTTGTTTTTTTGTTTTTTTTGTTTTTGTTTGTTTTTTTTTGTTTCCTTTTTTCATGCATGCCCTCCCTCTTCGATCGGCGCCTGTGCAGGGCTGGCGCCGCCCCGGGACACGTCTCTCCTCGTGGAGATGCCAGGAGCTCCCTGGACTGCTGGACCCCGGGAGCCGACGCGGCGGAGAGGAGGCAGCGTCGTGGAACGTCGCGACCAAAACACCAGACACGGATCGACCTGAGGGGGGCTCCGGGCCCGGAAACTGCGCAGAAAGACGCCCGGCGGCGCAAAGCTTTGCTTTTTCCGAGCGGCGGCGTCCAGCCGTGGCGACGGGCCCCCCCCGCCCCGAAGGCCAGCTGCCCGTGTGTCTCAACTCGCCTTCCTCTGGCGTTCTTCGGGTGACCTACAAGGGGGTCCAGCTGAAAGGGGGTTGTGCAATAGGTTTGGGGCAGTGGTATTGCAAGTGTATCGCGCCGGAGAATCGTACTGCCTTGTCTTGCAAGTAGTGCAGTGCACGCGAACATCCAGCGATGCATCTTGCGCTCCGGAGTGTATGGCACGCCCCAAAGGTATTGCAACCCCACAAATCTACAGTCGGGTTGCTGAAAGAAGGCACGCTAAAGAAGGAACGAAGCCCCTTCTTGGCCCTGTAAGCGCCTCCGTGCCCCAGGAGGGCGAGAGGAACAGCACTGGAGGAACCTGAGGAACATCGAGCCCATTCCGAACCCAAACTGTTCCTTCTTTCAGCGTCTTGACTGTAATTATGGCCACGCACACTTGTACCAAATCTATTGCACCACCTTTAGTGCACCACCCCATCGTGGCTGGACCCCCTCTTGGGTCAACCCGACCTTCGTCGTTCGCCCAGCCTTCGGGGCAGAGAGCTCGGGTCTCTGGCGCCCGCTCGGGGGCGAGCCGGGCACCCCTCCGGGAGAACGCTCTCGGCGAGGGGCAGCTGCGGGAGGGCGTCCCGAGGCCAGGAGGCACCGCCGATAACCAGCGAGGGCGTCCGGAAACCTCGGGCCTTCGGTCGGGCGTGTCCCCCTACAGGCGGACTTCGGGCAAGAACTCAAACATACAAAAAAAAAACCCAACATAATCACAACACATTCAACACATCGTCTCCAGAGTATCTGTTGACTATTTTTGAATATCGCTCCCGTAGGGGGACAGGCCCGACTTCACTGGAGCCTCGAAGTTCGAACCTCGGACTGCCCCCGAACCTCGAGCCTCGATGTTCGAGCATCTGGAGGCTGGAAAGTTGGCGGTGGACAATCCTCCCTTTAGTAAACCACCCTGTAGTGGAAACGGCCCAGGACCGAAACCCACGGACCTGGACCCGCAAAACTGACGGCCGCGACGCCCTCTCGCGAACCGACAACGGCCAATTCGCCAATCGACGTGTCGGAGCAGGAGGTCTATCCACCCCCGAACCTCGGACCTCCTCCGACCCTCGAGCCTCGAAGTTCGAGCACCCCGAGGCTGGAAAACGCACCCGAGTCGGGCGTTGGCAGCGGGGGCGCCCCCCCGTCCCATTTCCACTAACCGGAACTGCGGACACCCGAAAAACACCAGCTACGGCAAGCCTGGTTTCGTGAATCTGGCCAATGGAGGGGCCCCAGGGCCCTACCACTGAGCGGGCCCCCTTGCCTGGGGCCCTGGCTGTACCCGACATGCGACGTCCTGCTTTGTTCCATACGGGGTCCCTGGAAATCTCGACCCCTTCCCTGGGACTGGATTTCCATCCTGAATCGTTTTTTGACGGTCCCGAGGCCCGGCGAGGGCCCCACGAGGCCGAAAATTGGCTCAAACCTCCTGGTTCGAGCCTCGAGCCTCGAGGTTCGAGCATCCCGAGGCTGGAGCGCACCCGAGGACCGACGAGAGCAGAGGCCGACGAGCCTCTCAGTCCTCCGCCGGTGCCAAGGCCCTCCCCTGGGCAGGCCAAGGGCCCTCCCAGGAGGGAGTGCCTTGTCGGAGGCGCCGCGCGCGGGCCGCGGCGCGGAGCGCGGGGGGACCAACTGGCCTCGACCTGAACTATCTGTTGGCCCCATCGTACTGAAGCAGGGGAACAGAAAGTGACATAAACATAAAAACTCGGAGGTCCGCGCGGATTTCTCGGATCGGCGCTGGGGCCCCTCGGCGGCGCCTCCGGCGCTGCCCCTGGCGCGCTCCGCGCGCCAGGGAGGGGGGTCCAGCGCCGATCCGAGAAATCTGCGCGGACCTCCGAATTTTTATGCTTATGTCACTTTTTGTTCCCCTATGAAGGGCCACATCCCAGAATCAATGTCGAGCGCACGGAGCAGTGTCGAACCAGTGTCGAGCGAGCGTCTGCCAGGGCTGGAGTCTCGGTACTTTCTCTTGGTGCTTGAAATTCTTTCTGGTGCCTCAGGCTGAAGTAGGTTGGAACATCATAACCTTAACTCCCCTTCCCAAGGATGGACAAGCCCAAAGGCGCTGGCAATCTTGGGGAACGTGCCCTCCGAAACGGATAGAATCCCCAAGATCGGCATCGAGACGAGGCGATGCAGATCATTCAGATAGGGGTGCTACTTCAGGCCGGTAATCGGCGGCGCGCCCCGGGGGGGAAGTGAGAAGGGGCGGGCCTTCTCAGTAGGCTCGGAAGTCCCCCCAGCCTTCTGAGAAGTTTCCTGAGCCTTCCCTGCTGCTGCTGCTGCTGACAGCCAAGCATCCAGAAGGAAGCGTGGGCAGAAGCGCGCACGATTGGCCCCCCCTCGGGAAATACGAACAGAGACCTGGCGAACGGAGCGCATCTCGGCCGCGACGCAGAAAAGAGAGCCTTCCCCCAAGTCACAAAAAGAACCTCTCAGAAGGCCCGAGGGCTGCCGAGAAGCCGCCGCCCTCTGGGAAGGCCTCCTCCTGGCTCCCTTCCTCCCTCTTGCCGTCGCTCGGACGTCCACTTTCCGTGCATGTTCCGGTTTCGTGCGTTTTTTTTTTTTTTTTTTTTTTTTTTTTTTTTTTTTTTTTTTTTTTTTTTTTTTTTTCATTTTTTTGTTGTTGTTGCTGCTCTTGTTGTTGTTGTTGCTGCTGCTGTTGTTGTTGTTGTTGGTTTTTTTAATTAGTTTTTTTTTTGCTCGATGGTCCAGGATGGTCCTCGATGGCTCTGGCCGAGAAAGAAATGCCCACGTCCGAGCCATGCCGAGCCCTCGGCGCGCCGCCGAGCTTGTCGGCAGGCGCTCTCGGCGAGGGCCGGCCGCCGGAGGGCGCCGCCGAGGCCAGGAGGAGAAGCCGCCGAGCACCAGCGAGCGCGTCCGCGAGCCTCGAGAGCCTCGACGTTCGAACCTCGGACTCTTCCCCCCCTCGTAATGCGGGGTGACGGTTTGTTTAAAAAAATGAACGAGACCGATTCAACAAATAGTTTCCTGCTATCTCTGCATAACTTTCTGATTGGAGGAGAACGATTCGAAGAGATGGTTTTCCAGCCCGAGGCCCGTTTTTTCTAGTCGTCATCCCGGGCGCCGCCGCGTGAGCACGACCCCCGGTCATTTCTTCATCGTCATCCTCCATGAGCGAGCGCGCGCCGCCCAGCTCGGGCTAGGTCGGGCCTGCCCACCCTACCCTCGCCATCGCTCGGACGTCCCTTCACTGTGCATTTTTTTCGATTTCGTGCGTGTGTTTTTTCGTAAGGTGACCCACAATGCTCTTCGATGGTCCTCGCCTTAAACAAAAATGCACAAGTCCGAGCGATGCTAAGTACAGGGGGATTTTGGACGAACAATAATAAGTACCCCGAAAGATATGCCAAGCATATGTTTCAGAATGTAGAAACATCGTACCTGGACTACCTCCTTGACTGTTTTTGCATGCTCCCCCTGTGGAGGGACAGGCCCGACTTCCCGTGTCCGACGGCGCGCCCATTTGCTTCACACACTCCATGCTAGTGTTGGCTTCCGAGCAAGAGGCATGCCACTTTCAAAACCAAGTTTGGGGGTCAATCTTGCTTCGGCTCGGATCACAAGTGGTCTTCGACCTTGCACTCCCGCGTCGGCGTCGCCTGGCCATCGCTTGGACGTCCATTCACTTTTTTTTGTTGGTTTCGTGCGTGCTTTTTTCGCCAAATGATCAAGGATGATCCTCGATGGTCCTCGCCGAAGGACAAGCGCACACGTCCGAGCGATGCCAAGTCGCTGCCGCACCGCTCTTGCTCCAGCCAGCCGCAGAGCCCTGTCTGCATAGGGCGCGGGCCTCTCGACGGCCACGAGCACGATGCCGTGGTCCAGCAGGATCACCGCCAGCTGCGCCACGGACCTGCCCCGCAGGCTGCCCGGGCCTCAGGTGGCGCGCCGCCGCGGGCGGGCGGGCCTTGCCCCGCCCCCGCAGGTGCATCGCGGCGGCACGGCTCCCCCAACATAACCACAAGACATTCAACAAATCGTCTCCACAATATCACAGCACATTCAACAAATCATTTCCACAAAATACCCCCAACATAATCACAGCACATTCAAGAAATCGTCTCCAGAGTATCTGTTAACTACTTTTGAATATTCCTCCCGTAGGGGGACAGGCCCGACTGAACTGGAGCCTCGAAGTTCGAACCTCGGACTGCCCCCGAACCTCGAGCCTCGAAGTTCGAGCATCCGGAGGCTGGAAAACTGGCGGTGGACAAACCTCCCTTTAGTAAACCACCCTTCAGTGGAAACGGCCCAGGACCGAAACCCACGGACCTGGACCCGCAAAAATGACGGCCGCGACGCCCTCTCGCGAACCGAAGACGGCCAACTCGCTGATCGACGTGTCAGGGTAGGAGGTCTTTCCACCCCCGAAATAGGTTCGGGGCAATTGCATTGCAAGTGTGTTGCGCTGGAGATTTGTACTGCGTTGTATTGCAAGTACCGTATTGCACGCGAAAGCCCTGCAATACGTCTTGCACGCCCCAAAATGTAGTACAACCCCACAAATCTATTGCACCACCCCCTTGTCGCTGGACCCCTATTCGGGTCAACCCGAAGAACGGGGAAGCACTGCAGGAACATGATTTCAACAGAGCACGCGTCCGAGGGAGGCCACGATTCACTTGTGGAGGTCCCCGGGGGTTTCTGAGATCGGCGCTGAACCACCCTCCCTGGCGCGCGGAGCGCGCCAGGGGCGGCGCCCGAGGCGCCGCCAGGAGCGTCCAGCGAAAATCCGAGAGATCCGCGCGGAACTCCGACAATCTCATGGCCATGCACCTCTTTCTGCAGCATCCTGCAGGGCCTGACAGGCCGGCGGGTCTGCACGGGCCAGGGATCGGCGCTGGACCCCCGCCCCTGGCGCGCGGAGCGCGCCAGGGGCGGCCAGCGCAAATCCGAGAGGTCCGCGCGGAACTTCAACGGTTTTATGCAGGGTTTTATGGTCACACACATGTTGAAGGGGCCCAAGGACACACACACACATAAATCCACACGAATGACAGGATTCCCCTACATTTCCCATATCTTCTGGGTTTCTGTCTTCCCCCCCACTTCCAATATTTTCCCATATTTTCCTGGGAGTCGACGTTTAGTTGTGTCTGTGTGCTTTTCCCCCTCCTGACATTTGTTCTGCAGGATCCTGCAAAGCCTGACGGGCCCGGAGTCGCATGGGCCTGGGCCAGTGCCCAACAGGCTGTGGGGCGTGGCAGCGCGGCGAGATCTCCGAGCTGCCTCGCGGCTGCCCCCTGGCCTCAGGTCGGGCATGTCCCCCTACCGGCGGATTTTGGACGAGAGGTTAAACATACCCCCGAAATAATCAACAATACAGTCGGGCCGCTGAAACGAAGCCCCTTTTTGGCTCTGTAAGCGCCTCCGTGCCCCAGGAGGGCAAGAGGAACAACTCTGGAGGAACCTGAGGAACATCGAGCCCCTTCCGAACCCAAACTGCTCCTCATTTCAGCGTCTTGACTGTGGTCAAAATCGCCTCAAGAGTATTTTTTCCCTACCTAGGCTCTGCCTAGAAAGGTTCTTACTCTCTGGGCTTAAAGGGGCCGGGCAGCGGGGCTCGCCCCGGGCGGTTCCCCTGGTATCCGCCCAACGGTTCCCCCAGTTACGTCCCCTTAGCTTAGCGTTGCTTATTTCATCTTAGCTTAGCTTAGCTTATACCATCTTAGCTTAGCTTAGCTTCATCTTAGCTCAGGCTTATCTCAGCTTAGCTTACCTTCATCTTAGCTTCGCTGAGCTTTAGCATAGCAGAGCACACCATAGCATAGCATAGCGTAGCATAGCGCAGCAAATCCTATCATATCATATGATAACGCAGCATAGCATTGCATAGCGCACCACACCACAGCACAGCATAGCACAGCGCAGCACAGCATTCGCATGGGTGTAATTCCCTACCTAGGCTCTGCCTAGAGGGTTAGCTTAGCTTAGCTTAGCTTAGCTTATCATAGCGCAGCATTGCATTAGCATAGCATGGCATACCATAGCCAAGCATAACCAAGCATAGCATAGCGCAGCATATCATAGCATAGCATAGCATAGCGCAGCTTAGTATACCATAGCACAACATAGCATAGCTTAGCATAGCACAGCGCAGTATGCCATAGCATAGCTTAGCC